ACATAATTATATCGTAACACATGAAAAAAATAACAGAAAGAAATTTTTTCATGATCATATGAGTTTGCCGGATAACTGATATTATTGATATATTGCGATTATCAAATCACATGATAACAACTATAATAAAAAATAAAATAAAATTTTAGTAAATTTCCATATTAGACATACTAAAACGTACATACGAAAACATGTGTAGCCAATCGAAAAAAATCACACACACACCCTTTTTAGTTATTATTTATCCTAAACCGAATTAGTAAATTTTGAATGATCATTTACCAATTGGTTAAGAACTAAGTTTGAATAATAACTTGGATCTTTAAATTGATTTGAGAAATTGATTTTCAGCCAATTATTATGAATTCTTAAATATAAACATTATTCAATTAATAGTCCTCGTGTGCACAAAGAACTAATTTTTGCTTATTTTTATGTGAAAGATAACACCTATGACCTGTAGTACGTAAATACGAACGGGATTTAATTCCATGCTCGTACTACTATGGAATATAAAGTCCGTTGTTAACTTCGTTGCACAAAATACAATCTAAATATAGTATTTCGTAAAATAAATATCATTTTAAGATTTTAAAGATTATCTGGTAGGACATGAATAAAGAGCTCACTATTTTATTTTTTTTTTGTTTGCTGCACAATATTCTTTAGACTATCTTATTTAATTTGTGAATATAATAGTATCATATGAATTCAGAACAAAATGCGCTTTATCGTTGCAGAAAATGCACAATAATAAACCTAAAAAAATATATAAATAATTACTAAGCTATAAGTTAAAAGAAAAAAAGGGCAATACTAAAATATATGACGCTATATAATTTCATTAAGTTATAGGTAATAAAACAAAAAAAACCAGTAGTTATAAAATATGACACTATTGTGCTAATAATTTTTCATGAGTGGTTGCACTCAAGCGCTTTTAATTATTATTACTGAAACAATGAAATAATGATAAATTCTTATTGGTAAAGCATCGACTACATATTCACTTTCAAAGCTGAGGTTTTCAATTCAACGGTCTAAAAAAAGGCTTCCGTGTGCACTATCTACTAATGTTTTAAAATATCCGTTAGTATAGTTGTTGTGTGTATTTTCTAATGGCATAAAATTAATTTCTTTATTCACCTTCAAGCTCATTCGCTTGCATCGAAGTTGCGGTCTAAATGGCCTTGCTGGTGACCTGTATATTAGAAGAATATTGATAAAATATAATATAAATTTGTAATACACTTTGCAAGAAGGATTTTTAGAATTCAATTAGAATGCTTAGACTTAATGGTAATGAAAACTTTCAAAAACTTAATTTTCTACGAAAGTAAAAACATGGCTCGATGCATTGTTCTATATTTCTCTTTCACGTATGTATGGATATTTTGCATATGAGAAGTGTGCATCAATGAAATACGTAACCCTTTCTTTACATTAATGCCTGTTAAAGCTCTTACATTGACATCACCCACGTTATTGTCACGTGTCCAAGATTGTGTATGCATGTTTATAACAACAGCAGGATGCAGTCCAATTTTCTTGAAATGGCCAGCATTATGCAGAATTATGCAGATCATGAAGATCATTTCAGGAAGACAAAAAAAAAATGAGAAATGCGAGAAAAAACGATAAACTAACCTATCTTGGTGCACTAAAAAAATGTCGATGACGCAATTTTACATAAAAATCAGTCAAAAATTCTAACAAAAAAACCCAACCCTAATGCTGATTAGATAAATAACACAGGCCAATATCTGGAAAATTTGGACTGCATGCTGCTGTTGTCGTGCCGTATTCTTGTAGGTAAAGCTGAAACATTTCACGTGCTTATGGAATAACAATGCCCAGCATTAAAGTCACGGTAGGCAGATTTTTGCAAATTCAATCGTCGTAGTGTCTATAATCACGTGAATTTTGAGTCTATAGCTATATCACATTTACCTTGAAATAAATAATCTATTGCGTTGAGTAAAATTTTTTTTTTTAGTAAGAGTAGTCTAACACTACAAGCTATAGTTACAAGTGTGATTTTACTTACTTAATTCCCTGATTGCTGAAGCAAGATCAGGAGCGACTATGACTACTACTTCTCTGGTCGAATGATTATTTTGTGGTATCGAGTGTGGGATAGATTGATCTTCATATTATATCGAAAATGAAAGATCATAAATATATCTTGGAAAGTTAATTGTATAAGCTACTGACGGGGTCTAATACATGTGAGAAATTAGCATCATAGTTTCGGCAACATGCTGAGATCATGATACAATTTGTCACTTGGTTTAGGATGCCCCTGGCATAATTTTTTTAACTTTACGTACTTAATTGCTGATTTTGTACGTTTCTTGATGATGTAACAATTTGACGATAAGTAAGATTCAAACCCGACCCATTAAATTGTGGCGAGTCTAAAGACATCGATAGTTGACGTAAAGTGTGATTAAATTTCAATATATTTACTGGAATGAAATACTTCAGACGACGGTTACTCTTACCACTTGAGACTACGCTATGATAACCTGTTTTAAAATTAAGGTAAATATAAGCAAATTTATATTGCGTGTATTATAGATATGTGAAGTTTTTGCCATGAAAAACACAATTGACTATGTCCCATAAAGCGATTTTCAAGGCAAAGACGCTAACTTCTATCTTTATTTTTTATGATTAACCTCGTGGAAATATTGATTATCTAATCTCCAGCATATATATGCAAGAAAATTTATCATAATTTTATATCTCCCATCATGATATATAAATAATTTAAGATATACATTACCTGTATGTGCATATAAATCAGATTGAAGTGGAATTCCTATAATATGAAGTATATAAAAATGTTTTAATTATTCAATTATTTTTGACCAATTAAAGTGACGACTTAATCACAATTACTTGAGATTTAAATATTAATTTTTCTTTTTACCTTCTGGCACATTCATCAAGCCTTTTATAATATTAAAAAAGGATACATAATTAGACAATAGGTTATTAAAATAAAATTAGATTAAAATGAAATCGAATTCGGTGCCTTTTATTGTCCGAAGGACATTACGATAGAGGCATAGACCACCTGATGTCCGTGTGTCCGCAAATTACGGTTTTTGATTGGCTAGATCAGGTGTAATGTAAAAAAAAAAAATCAATCAAACCGATCAAAAACCTTGATTATATTTGGTTCTTCGGACTTGAATGGTTTCCATTTTCCTAGTATATACATGAAACTGTTTATACTAATTAACTCCTCCAACATCTAAAACAAACCTTTA